GGGCAAATTTAATTCATTTGTCATGAAGCGCGGCTTGTTGATACATTGGGATGCTGACTCGTGTCAACATAAAATCGTCGTGCCATCCGCTTTGCGATGCAAGGCCGTATGGGCGGCGCATGAGCGTTTATTGCACCTGGGTGTTCATAAGACCATTGGGTTGTTGCGGTTGCAATTTTTCTGGCCGGGCATGCTGCGCGACGTCACTGACATTTTGCTGGGATGCACCCATTGTGCGCAACGTAAACCGCCGGCTAAACCGGCATGTCCACCCCTGCAACCCATTTCGGTCTCTCGTATAAATGAGTTGGTGGCTCTCGATATTTTGGGCCCTTTTCCTACTACGCCACGGGGTAATAAGTACCTTCTGGTTGGGGTAGAGTATTTTACACGGTGGCCTATGGCCTGGGCCCTCCCCAACCAGTCGGCGGCGGCCGTTGTGGATGCCTTTGTTCAAGGCTACGTCCTGGACAAGGGCGCACCAGAACGGTTGCTGACCGATCAGGGAAGAAATTTTTCTGGAGCCTTGCTGACTGATGTGTGCCGCCTGTTGGGCACTAAGAAAGTGCGCACTTCGCCCTACCATCCCCAGACCGACGGCATGGTGGAGCGCCTTCATAGAACTCTCACCGCTATGTTATGCCATCAGGTCGATGAATCCCACCTCGATTGGGACTTGCAGGTTCCGGGGGTCCTCGCCGCATACCGTATGGCACCTCACGCGGCGACGGGATTTTCCCCGTTCTTTCTAATGTACGGCAGGGATGCCTTTCCTCCCGCCGACGTTCGGCTGGAAATCGAACAGCCACCGCAAAAGTCAAAGCTTGTTGACCACTTGCGATTCAACCTCCGTAAGTTGGCCGAGGCACGGGAGGCCGCCATTGAAAATTCGGCTTCCCGCCAACGGGCGAATTTGCGACTGCGGGACCCTCGGTTGTACACGCATCGGTGGGCACCGGGAGACAGGGCATGGCTCCACTGCCCCCAGGTGCCGGTGTCCACGTCGGCCAAACTCCTCAGACCATGGCGAGGCCCGGTTGAGGTAGTGGAAGTCCTGCGTCCCCAATGTGTTAAAATTAGCTGGGGACGGCGTCGCTGGTGCGTTCACCCCTCTCGGTTAAAACCCTTCGTCACGCCACGCGTCCCTCCACAACACACACGACATGGGGGCCGAGTGTGCGACGCGTCCGACGAGCCGGATGTTGCCCCGTTGGTGCCTAACCCGCAGCGCAGGCGTCTCATTCCTCCTGCAGATGACGCGGGAGTGACGGCTCCATGCAGGCCACGTTCGGCCTCAATGGACCGTGGAGCAGCAGGTGTCCCCGTGGAGATGCCTAAAGGCCCACCGGATGCTCTGGCTCATCCTCCTCCTTCCCTTGTGCCGCTGACAAAGCCTGCCATCCCCTACGATGGTCCCGCGAAACGCACGCACGCGCGCGAAATCTCGCCGATTGTTATGTTTTTTTGGCATGTCTAGTGCCTTGTACATACGTTATGTTGTTAAGGGGGGTATTTATCGGGGTTTAATTGTTCTTGTTGTTCGTGAGGCACACTCACAATTCTTCTACTGTTGGTAATTTCGGAGTTTCCCATTGTTGCAGCCGGGACGGCTGGAGCTTCCGAAGGAGGGGGTGATGTAGAGGTGTTAACTACGCGCTGTTGCGTAACCTGCGTTGCCACCAGGGCAGTGCAGCATTACCCCTGGGTACAACGGTTGGGGTCAGTCGAGGTGAAACGGATCGTGGCCAGGGTTTGGTGCGAACCAATCAGACGGTTCCACGTGGGAATGTATGATTGGTTCTACCTGGCCACGAAGGGGTATAAGACGGGTGACCCAACGGACCTCGGGGAGTTCTCTCCCTGCACGAAGATAGAAGACTGGGCTGAAGCCTAGCTAGGACCCTGGACCAGCCTTTCAGCCCTTCTAAGGGCTAAGGCTCGGCATACCCAGTGGTCAGGACCCACCGGGCCAGCGGTGGGTCAGATAGCCTCCCCTAGGTCCTAGCCGGAGGACTAGGATAGCGGTAGACGTGTGAGTCCCGCCAAGTCCGGAGGTTGTACCTCCTTAGGTATCAAGGAGGTTAGCGGTAGACGTGAGAGTCCCGCCAGGTCCGGAGGCTGTACCTCCCTAGGGTATCGGGTGAGGGGACCGAATATCCCTCTGTGTGTGTTAAGCGTTGTATAAGGAAATAATACAATAAACAGAGTGTGCCTCCTAAAGAAGTCTGCTCGTCCTTACAACACTACACAAGTGTAGTGGCATAGAATAATAGTAGTGTAGCAGCATATCGCTGGCTGCTGGCAGGGAAGGGGATCTGCAGCTTCGGCAGCCCTGATGTCAGCAGACCAGGTTATACACCAGAAGGGGATCTAGGGGCATGGTCACAGAAGGCACACACCAAGAACCCGCTGGTAGGTTCTAGAAAGGAGGCATGGCTGGGGGCGGAGCCAGGCCACGCTGACAGTATAAGAAGGGCCCCTGTAGGGGACCTTGGGGCTGTCATATGGAGTGGAATCCCCATCGTGCTGCTGAAGTTTTCACCATTCTTCTCGTAGTTGTTCACCATCTTTGTCGTCATCTCTGTCTTCACCATCTCGGGGCGTCAACAGTCAGGCAGCCTACCAACTGCCTTGAATTAGTAACGTTGCTAATCATAGATGGACTTATTATAAAAGTGTTAACCCCAATGGTGCTTGTTAATAAAGAAGTGCCTTCAACTCTTAGTGCCTCTGAGTTAGTCAATACACAAGTGTAGAGTGAAATACGTGGTGCGAACAGTTAACTAAGGGCAACTGAGGACAAACAGGTGCGCGTGTGCAACATGAGGTTTGCACGGACAGACCGCCAGTTGTTAAGGGGCAAAGCAGATGCAAACGGGGTCAACTGGTTTTGCACGTTGAGACCGGAGGTCTTGCCAGGGAGACGGGAGATAAGGGTTGATTGATGGGTCAACAGGCGCCGGCCTGGTGAGAGCTTAAAGAGACACACAAGAGGTCTCGGATAATTAGCAGAGGGATATAAGGGTGTGAGTGGAGGGGGAGTTGTTGCTGGAGACGAAGAGTGAAGACATCTCGCCACTGCCGCTCTAGCCGTCAACGGGACCTGAACCCTCACACCGTCGCCGGGTGGGTTTTGGCTGATCTCCCTGCCCGGGACAGACGCATGAGAGAGTCTGAGGGAGCATAGGTGAGGGCAGCGGTGGAGATGTAGAGCTGCTGTGTGCGGAGACGCTGTGTGCGGAGACGCTGTGTGCAGAGTCGCTGAGAGCAGAGTCGCTGAGAGCAGAGCTGCTGAGTGCAGGATAAGTGAGGTGAAAGGTAGAAAAGAGTGCGGAGAAGTTAAACACGTGACCATATAGATAGTTATAGGAGTGCCTTAAACTGGTGCAAGAATAGGTGAATAAAGTGTAAGCAGGTGACTTGTAACAATGTGTCGGTGTGAGTAATTTTTGAAGACACTACACAAGTGTAAACTATTCTTACATGATAAACTAATAATGTATAATATAAAAGGTGAGAATATATCTTAATACATACATTTTTATCTTACTATTCACACCTAAAATTATGGTACATGAATAATATATTGTACTGTATGTTATATTTCTTTATATGCGGCGCAAAGCAGTTGTTGTACAGGGCAGGTGGGTACGTAGGTTGGTATATGGGTGGGTAGGTGGGTTGGGTGGATAGATAGGTGGGTATGTAGGTATGTGTGGGTGGGTATGTAGGTAGGTAGATGGGTAGGTAGTGAGGGAAAAAAGTATTTGATCCCTGCTGATTTTGTACGTTTGTCCACTGACGAAGAAATGATCAGTCTATAATTTTAACGGTAGGTTTATTTGATTAGTGAGAGAAAATAACAAGAAAATCCAGAAAAACGCATGTCAAAAATGTTATAAATTGATTTGCATTTTAATGAGGGAAATAAGTATTTGACCCCCTCTCAAACAGAAAAATTTCTGGCTCCCAGGTGTCTTTTATAGAGATAACGAGCTGAGATTAGGAGCACACTCTTAAAGGGAGTGCTCCTAATCTCAGCTTGTTACCTGTATAAAAGACACCTGTCCACAGAAGCAATCAATCAATCTGATTCCTAACTCTCCACCATGGCCAAGACGAATGAGCTTTCCAAGGATGTCAGGGACAAGATTGTAGACCTACACAAGGCTAGAATGGGCTACAAGACCATTGCCAAGCAGCTTGGTGAGAAGGTGACAACAGTTGGTGCGATTATTCTCAAATGGAAGAAACACAAAAGAACTGTCAATCTCCCTCGGCCTGGGGCTCCATCCAAGATCTCACCTCGTGGAGTTGCAATTATCATGAGAAGGGTGAGGAATCAGCCCAGAACTACACGGGAGGATCTTGTCAATGATCTCAAGGCAGCTGGGACCATAGTCACCAAGAAAACAATTGGTAACACACTACGCCATGAAGGACTGAAATCCTGCAGCGCCTGCAAGGTCCCCCTGCTCAAGAAATCACATATACATGCCCGTCTGAAGTTTGCCAGTGAACATCTGAATGATTCAGAGGACAACTGGGTGAAAGTGTTGTGGTCAGATGAGACCAAAATGGAGCTCTTTGGCATTAACTCAACTCGCCGTGTTTAGAGGAGGAATGCTGCCTATGACCCCAAGAACACCATCCCCACCATCAAACATGGAGGTGGAAACATTATGCTTTGGGGGTTTTTCTAAGGGGACAGGACAACTACCGCACCCATCAACATTTACAGTTGTGGATTCACTCTTCAGCACACCGGTGGGCTAAAGTAGTGAACTATTTGTCTTTTGTCAACGTGACACTTGTTTGCTGATTGGCCGTGTCGGGTGGTGAAGGGTTACGACACATTTATAAATAACGCGATCTAACCCAAAAACCTTTATGAATATTGGTCGCGAAAGCCTACGTGTTAAACTAGTGTATTACTATCTATAATAAACGTTTCGGGCAATGGCCTTTCATTGTGGCATAAATGATTGGAAGGGTCTCACCTCAAGCTTGGAAGGCTGCAGTTATCAACCAGCGGTGATCGCCAGCATTCCACTCGATCAGCTGGGCTCGTGTGTATGAGTCTGAATGAGTATGTTAGTCTGAGTGTGTGTGAGACTATGTAAGAATGTATGTTTAAGTGTGTAAGTCTGAGTGAGTGCGTGTGACTATATTTTTGTGAGTGTGTTATGTGACCGTGCGTGAGTATGTGAGAGTGTGACAATGTTTACTTGTGTGAGCGAGTGTGTTTATGTGTTTGAGTCTAAGTGAGTGAGCGAGTCTACGTCAGAGTGTAAGTTTACGTGCGAGTCTGAGTGTGTTTTAGTCTGTCTCGTGTCTCTGTGTCAAATCTTGATATCTTCTTGTCTGGATCTATCTTAATCTCCCCGTGTATGTCTCTCCCCGTGTCTCTGTGCTCAGCTGGAGTGTACATTCCCATGCAGGGTTGGGCTGTATTCAGCACCTCATTACACACACTAAATCTAGAAAAACCTGTTTTTGGTTTTGAACAAAATTCAACACAACACTCAAAACGAGGCACCCGGATAGCACGGAACTTGAAAGTTCTCCCGACAGAATTGTATTTTTTTCATCTCCCAAAGAACAAAGATGCTATTAAATTTTTAAGGTATACATTTCCACATCAGCCTCTTCGTTATCATTAATGGCCAGGTCGCTTCTGAAAAATAAGTTAAGATAGATCAGTGGGCTTTATCTAGTAAACAAAAGTTTAGTTTTAATTGTATATTTAAAAGTGATGTTTTTACCTTTCCTATACTTTGCACTCCTATCGTGTTTTTGTATTGTTGTAACGTTATAAACGCGTGCCCCTAGCGGACATCTGTGAAAAAGAGTTTCATTCCTCATCGGATTCCTCCAGTATGAATACAGATTTTTATTATATGACTAACATAAGATTAAAACTAACATAAACATATTTAAGAATCACAGTTGAGACAAAAAGCGTTATATAGTCCTCGACTTATGAACACTTAGTTCCTGACACCGGTTCGTAAGTCGAACTGTTTGTAAGTCGAAACAAAACAATGTACTGTATTTAAATGCCAATACGGTGTTATGAAATAATGTTACGTTTCAGGAAAAATGGAAGCATTGTTTAACTCACAAATAAGAAGAAATTGTACATTTGCATGTAACAGTGGAAAAAAATACTCTATTGCGAATAAAACGTAAAATAAAGTAACATTAATGAATAAAAATCTGTTTTACGTTCATTTACCTTGAGTCCTGATGCTGGCTTGCTTGTCGGAAAGGGCCCAATGAGTAACAACAATTGCACACACACACACAAAGGCAGACACACACATGGGGCACGCTTGTATGTCTGTCTTTGGGGAAAGTGTTGTTAGCGAGCAGCACCGATGAAAGCCGAAACGGCACATAAGGAGGTGAGTGGCTAGCACTACGCACTGCTGCCTTTGTCTCCCCAGTGGCGATGTTTACACACTGCAGCAAGTAATAATTTGAGGCCAAGTCAACCTAGGGGAGGCGACAGGTCCACTTTAATCGTCTACAGCATCCCAAATCAGAGAACGAGAGGAGGCTTACCGCAGCCTTCGCTCAGAGGTTCGGAGAGCCGTGAGGCACTGCAAGGATTGTTGGTGGTCGCGAGTTGCTGAGGATATGGAGTCTGCCTCACATGGCCCGCGATCACAAATCGCTCTTTAATTCCATAAAAAGTAACCTGCAGCACCACACCTATTACCATAATTCGGGGTAAAAACGGTGATCCAATCTCCGACCCCCAGGAACAGGTTTGCAGATTTGCTGAGCATTTCTGAGGTCATGGGGGATGGGAAATCCCTCAGCCTGGAAAACATCATGGGACAAAGTGGGGATGACCCTGCTGAGGCTGCGGTGCCTAAAATATGGGAAGAAGTCACCCCCTGTGAGTGGCTGGCTGAGATGCCATCTGTTGAGGAAGTACTGAAGGCGATCCAGAGCCTGAGACCAGGAAAGGCACCTCAGCGAAATGCTGAGGGAGGGTGGCGTTTGTCCACAGACTGCTCTACATGACATCATAACAGTCTGGACCACTGGACGGGTTCCGCAGGATTAGAGGGTTGTCCTGGTGGTCCCCCTCTTTAAGGTAGACCGCACATACTGTAACAACTACAGGGGCATCTCACTCCTCAGTGTGCTGGAAAAGGTCCTGGCAAGGATTATTCAGCATCGCCTTGCCAGGCACGCTGAGGAGGCTTGCAGAGCCCCAATGTGGTTTCAGGAAAGGGCAGTTCTGCACAGATGCCATATCTGTCCATCTGCTACAGCAGAGGTGTAGGGAATTCCAACAAGACCTACATCTCTGCTTTATTGACCTGGTCAAGGCCTATGATACCATCAGTAGGCCTGGGCTCTGGGTTGTTCTTCGTGCTTTCGGAGTCCCTGACCCTCTGCTCACGATCATTAAGGACCTTCATGATGGTGAGCGGACCCAGGTAAAACTACGTGGCCGGGAGTCGGAGCCATTCCCTGTACACCTTGGGGTGCGACAGGGATGTCCTCTGGCTCCCCATTATATAACATCTATTTCGACCATGTAGTTCGTGAAGCCTTTGATGGCTGGAATTTCCATCTGGTAGATACAATGGGAGGGTGATCGATGCCCGGGTGCGGTCAAGGGATGGCTCCCTATTTCTCAACCATGTTATGTATGCCGATGATCTGGTAATTGCCGCTCACTCATAGGAGGAGTTGGAGGCACTGCTGCTGAACCTGGAGCGTGCCACTAAGAGCTTACCATCAGCCCACCAAAACTAAGCACCTGCCTGGGTATTTTGTACCATCGGACACTCCACCCTCACAACTCCCAATTGGTGATGGGGTAGTTGTGGAGAGAGTGGAGAGTTTCCCATACCTGGGCAGTGTGCTCATGACCGGCTCCGGTTTGACAGCGGAGGTCTCACTCCGAATCAGTCGAGCGGCATTATCTTTTCATCGGTTGCGTAACGATGTGTGGAAGCTACCTGGTCTGTAGCTCCGCACGAAGCTTCAGGTCTTCTCGGCCATGGTCATTCCCTCCCTTCTCTAGCTTGCGAAACGTGGACCCCCCTAATGGAACATATTCGCCAGTTGGCATCATTTAGGCTGGCCTGCCTACAATCCAGCCTGGGTTTAACCAGGCTGGATTGTGTGAGCATCTCACAAATCCTTGAAAAATCTGGACAAAGTCCCATCGGTGAGCTCTTCCGGCAGGTAAGGCTGCGTTGGCTGGGTCATATAGCCCGCATGCCCAGTCAACCCATGCCTAAACATCTTTTGTTCGGTCGGATTGAGGGGGCTAAATGGGCACGGCACGGGCTCGAGAAGTGATGGAGTGATGTGGTACAGGAGGATGTGGAGCTGAGTGGACTTGCCGATGACTGGTACCAGCAGTGTCAAGATCGTCCTCTGTGGAGGAGGCTCGTAAAGGACGCTACTGGGCAGTTGGAGGCAGTCGCCCTCCAACAACAACGGAGGCGAGGTTCTAGCCATCACCCACCCCCTCGTGTGCTGTGCCAGCGTTCATAGGCGCTGCTCGCTAACTGTACTTGCCCCAACAGTCTGTAAAGGTTGTATGGGGATCGCCGTTGTTGGTGTGTGTCTGTCTTTGTGCGTGTGCGCACATATCCCCGTGTGTGTGTGCAATTGTGGGGTCTCATTGCATCCCTTCCGACAAGCAATGTATTGGCTGTACACTGGTGCACGGCATAAAATAGCACATTTTTCACAATTATTTATTTTCCTGCGATTCGAAATCCCGGTCAATGTTGTGATATGCGTCAAAATCAGTTCTCATGATGTTGAAGCGATCGTAAGATGAATGTTATTAGCAGCTGAACACGAAGCTTCACAGTCTGTTGACATATAGCGGCCAGCCTGATGACGATTGGCTCCGTGTTCCAAAGGCAGATTTGACTCATACCCTAGACTTGGTTGGACGGATCCTCGATTCCACGGACCAAAATCAACGGTCAATATTGACCATTTTAGCAAGTCTTAGTAGCCTGAATAAACCTTCGAATTGTGTGAAACTTGATGACAGGGTCAAATAAAAAGACTGATAAACAAATTTCCGTTTTAATTTTTAGATTTTACCATGTATTGAGGACCGATGCGTCATGCTGCACCAGTGTACCACGAATACGTCAATTTGTTACTTTAGTTTAAGTTTGATTTACTATAAAATACGTATTCCATGCAATTGTACAATATCTCATTTCTAAGTTTAATAATGCTTCCCTTTTTTGTTGAACCATAATATGTTTTTATTGTTCCGACTGATGAACCGTTCGACTTACGAATGGAGTCCAGGAACAGAACCCGTTCATAAGTTGAGGGCTTCCCATAACTGAAACACATTTGTAAATAACACTGTGACCTTAAAAGGAGAATATACTGGTTTATTGAAAAGTCAAGACACATAAGATTATATTTATTTTTACAAATCACGTGCATAGGGTTATTTAATTTACTTTAGCAAATGTTCAGACTGATTTCCATTAACATTCTATCTAGATATAACTGCTCAACCCGAGCTATTGATGCTTTAATATGTGCATTGTCCTTGTACTGTCCACCTTCTACAGTTAGTCTAACACTGATGAGACAATGTTATAAAAGAGTTTGTCTCTCTTGTATAGGCCAATTAGTTTAAAGGACAATGCATACATTATTATCAAAGCATGTTTGTTTACATGTTTTACCACAAGCATGAAGTGTGGTTATTACAGTCTTGATGATGCCTCGCAATAATGGGTGTCTATTTGGTGCTTGAACATCTTAAAACCCAGTGTTATTGCCAGAAAAGGAAAAGCATATTTTCTTTTTTTTTCAGCATCGTGATGCCAGCAACAAAGCATCCCAGATATATAACTGCTCGACCCGGGTTATTAATGCTTTGATATTTGCATTGTCCTTGTACTGGTCGCCTCTTGTCGTTGTTCTCTGGTCAAACACAAAGAGTCATCCCATAGAAATCATAGACAGAGCTAAATGGAGGGCCATGATCTCCGACATCTTTGAGATTAAGTACAGCTCACATAGAGAGTTACAGACATTCCCCGACCCGCTCTCCCTCAGACTCTGAATTTTCCTCCTGCTTCACGCTGCCTCTATCCACCTGGAGGTCATGTCCTGCAGTCGAATCTTCATCTTCAAATTTCACCTTCACTTCTTCACATTCCACCTTCACTCCTGGCCACGTTTCAAAGCTGGGATTGTCTTCTGGCTCTTGTTTTATAAGAGAAGGGCTCAGTGCAGCACTTTGACATTCAGAAGTCGATTTCACCTTCTTCTCTTTGTGGATCTTCTCATGCTTCTTTCGGTTTCCTGACACTGTAAAACCCTTCCCACACACAGTGCACTTGAAAGGCTTTTCACCAGTGTGTGTTCTCTGATGAACGTGAAGAGTTGCTGATTGTGTAAATGCCTCCCCACACACAGTGCACTTGAAGGGCTTTTCACCTGTGTGTGTTTTCCGGTGTCTGTGAAGGGATTCTGACTGTGTAAACCCCTTCCCACACACAGTGCACTTGAAGGGCTTCTCACCTGTGTGTGTTCTCTGATGAATCTGAAGAGTTCCTGACTGAGTAAACGCCTTCCCACACACAAAGCACTTGAAGGGCTTCTCACCCGTGTGTGTTCTCTGGTGCTTCTTCAAGTGTCCAGTGCGATCCGTATGGTACGAACACTGGTCGCATTGGTGCCTTTTAGCACCAGGCTGTGTCGAGGGTCTCTTCTCCATGTGAATGATTCTGCAGATAAACGTACAAAAACACCTATGAAGGCCGGCATGGCTCATAAGAAGGTGGGTGGCCAGCACCATGCCAGGCAGCCTTGGTTTCTACAGGTACTCATTTGAGGCTGAGTCGACCTAGGGTAGGCCCTTGACTGGTTCAGATAATCGTCACTTGTGTTGGCCATGAGCAGGAATCAAACTCTGGTCGCCCTGGTTCATAGCACACTACCACTCACATTTACACACAATCCTCACACACAAACAATACTCACACAATACAGTCGATGAGTTAATGTAGCCTAATTTACTAGATACTACACACATACAACGCTACTCACACACACTACTGACACACACACAATATCCACAAACACATACTCTCACACAATACTCACTCACCACGGTAACTGTGCCAGGCCAGGTGCACTTTGAGGCCACGAGAAGTGTCGAAGGGTTGCTGACAGGAAGTCATGGGCCAGACCCAGGTGCCATGGGTTGACTGTCTGAGAAGACTGGCCGATGCACCACCTGTGTGCCCTTACTATGCCAACTTGCTATGATTTAGCCGCCCGGCGCTCCGTTCGTTGTTGTGAGCATTGCTCCTGTGCCTCCGTTGTTGCTAGAGGGCGACTGCCTCCAACTGCCCAGTAGCGTCCTTCATAAGCCTCCTCCACAGAGGCTGATCTTGATACCACTGGTATCAGTCATTGGCAAGTCCACTCAGCTCTACGTCCCGTTGTACCGTGCCATGCCTGTTTAGCCCCCTTTATACGGCTAAACAGAAGCTGCTTGGGCATGCAGTGGCTGGGCATGCGGGCTATGTGACCCTACCAACGCAGCCTTGGCTGCCAGAGGAGCTCACTGATGGGAATGTGTCCAGATCTTTCAAAGATTTGTAAGCTCCTCACACAATCCAACCTGGTCAAACCTAGGATTGATCATAGACAGGCTAGCCTGAATGTTTCTAAGCAGTGCAGATGTCCCATTAGAAGGGTCCACGTTTCGCAAGCATAAAGGGAGGGCATGTCTGTGGCCAAGAAAACCCAAAGCTTCGTGTGGAGCGACAGACCAGGTAACTTGCACACAGCATTATGACGCCGATTAAAAGATAATGCCGCTCGGCTGATTTGGAGTGAGACCTCTGCTGTCAAACCGGAGCTGGTCGTAAGTACACTGCCCAGGAGTAGAAAAATCTCCACTCTCTCCACAACTGCTCTATCACCAATGGGAAGTTGAGGGGGTGGAGCATTTGATGGCGCTGATCCCACCTCTTAGTGGCATACTTCAGGTTCAGCAGCAGTGCCTCCAACTCCTCCTCTGAGGGAGCAGCCATCACCAGATTTTCAGCATACATAACATTGTTGACCAATTGAGAGCCGTCCCTTGACTGCATCTGGGCATCAAGAAGCCACCCATTGTATCTGTACCAGATGGAGATTCCTCCGGTACAGCCATGGAAGTCTTCTCGAACTACGTGGTCAAAGATGATGTTAAATAATGTGGGAGCCAAAGAACTTCCCTGTCGCACCCCCATGTGGACAGGGAATGGCTGTGACTCCTGATCAAGTAGCTTTACCTGGGCCTGCCCACCATCAGGAAGGCCCTTAATTATTGTGTGCAGAGTAAGGGACTCCGGAAGCACAAAGAACAGCCCAGAGGCCTGTCATGTTGATGGTATCATAAACCTTGACCAGGTCAATAAAGCAGAGATGTAGGTGTTGTTGGAATTCCCTACACCTCTACTGTAGCAGACAGAGAATATGGCATTCGTGAAGGACCGCCCTGGTCTAAATCTACACAGCGGCTTCGCAAGCCTCTCCTCAGGTTGCCTGGAAAGGCAATGTTGAGGCAAGAGATGCCCCCACAATTGTTCAATCTGTGCAATCCCTCTTCTTAAAGACTGGAGACCACCAGGGCATCCTTCGAATCCTGCAGAACCCGTCCTGTGGTTCAGCTATTTGTGATATCACGTAGGGAAATCTACACAGAATCCACCCTCCATTAGCATTTTGCTTTGGAGATTATCCCTGCCTGGCGCTTTTTCTGGACTCAGACCCTGGATTGCCCCTTTCACTTCATCTACAGATGGCACCTCAGTCAACCGCTCAAAAGGGGTGGCAACTTCTGCCAATATTTGAGGCACAGCAGCCCCAGCAAGGTCGTGCGCACCTTGCTCCATGATGTTGTCTGAGCTGAGGTAATTCCTCTCCCCCAAGACCTCATAGAAATTCTCTGTAAACCTACAGACCAGTAGTTCCTGTGGGCTGGAGATTGGATCGCCATTCTTTCCCTTAAGGATGGTGATAGGTGGAGGCACTGCAAGTAAGCTTTTTGATGGAATTAAAGAGTGATTTGTGTGGGCAACTAAGGCACATTCCACCTACTCAGCAACTCACGCCCACCACTGATCTTTGCAGCATCGTACAGCTCTCCGAACCTCTGAGCGAAGGCTGCAGTAAGCCTCATCTTTCTTTCTCCGATGATAGACGTTGTAGATGACAGTAGGCCCGTCATTTTCTCTCAACCAGCCGGTAGACCTCCTCCTTCAGCCAGGGTCTCTGGGAAGGTCTAAATTGCATACCAAATGCAGCCATTGTAACTGCTTGAGCAACATTCCTGAATCTCACCATCAGGCGGAGGGGATACGATGCCAACCCTAGTTTAAATACCTGCTTGTAACTATTCTCAGTTAGCTGAGACAAGGCTACTGTGGGTTTGAATAGGGTCCGAGATGGACACCCACCAACGGAGTGGAAAAATGACAGGTGCGGCTTACAGATGACAAGCCGATGGTCAGATTAGCTCCACGGTACGTCCTGGTGTCAATGACATGGGCCTGCATCTGCTCATCTGTCACAATATATATTCCAGCAGATGTTCGTGCTTGATGCACTGTTGATGCACCGCTGCCGGAACAGCGTGTTGGTAATTACAAGCTGCACAGATTATTATTGAGTTAATCTGGCCCATGACCCACCGAGGTGTCTGCGTCATGACCCACTCGGGAATTAAAGTCACCCAACAGGATGACTCTATCCCGAGGGGCCACTTTAGCTAGCACCTGGGAAAAGAGGTTATAGAAGGCGACTGACTCATCAGCCTTTTCTGCATCCCTTCAATTATGTTCACCTTCAGTAATGCTGTAAGCAACCACCACCATTCCTCGCCTCTTGTTGATAGGGAGGTGAGCCCACAGCAGCCTGGGGCTTACAGCTACCCAATCCTCACCACCACGCTCCCACACCCCCTTAATTCGTGTTGTTTGGCAGTTTTCTGCCCCGAGTAGAGAACTGTCCACCCCTCATTATGACTGGAGCCAGAACCGCTCCACCAAACCTTCTGTATTCCACAGAGGCCCAAGCCGTACTGGTTCGTCTCCTAACAGAGGAGTGGCATCCGCACTCGTTACTTATTTGAGGCCGAGTCGACCTAGGGTAGGGCCCAGGACCAGTTCAGATAATTGTCACTGGTGTTGGCCGTGAGCAGGAATCGAACTGGGGTCGCCGGGTTCCTGACGCAGCGCGCTAACCACTTCACTACTGCTCCCCACACTCACTCCACCACGGTCCACACACATAGCCTACACACACAACCCGTACCAAACACACACACTGAAGTGCACCACACGCTACGTGCGGGACACCACGTTACTGAACACTATACAGTAAGCCACACGACGCTGAACTGCACACTACTGTATAAGTGCAATACATTAAAACGTAACAATGCACACAAACATACACAGACACGAACACACGCACCCAGATACACAAACACACAGACACAAATAACACAGACACAATACAAATACTGTACAGACGAACGTGTCGCTTCACACGCACGCGGGATGGAAAAAAACACGCACCAAGCCGCCGAAAAAAACGTTAATCATTAACGCACACTAATAAAACAACTAAATAGATACATAATACTCACACACAATACCTACACACATTACTCGCACACAGCATGCGCACAATACAAACGCACAATACAAACGCACAATATACACAAAATACACACACAGTACTCACACACAATACTCACAGTACACATACAGTACACACACAATACTTACACACAGCATGCACACAATACAAACGCACAATATACACAAACACAATATACACAAACACAATGCTCACACACAATACAGTACACACAAAAAACAGTGCTCATACCATACCTCCACAGTACACATACACAATATACCCACACAGTACACACACAATAAACCAACACAAAGTACACACAGCACCTGCACTGTACTCACCCCGCTCGTGGCTTCTGGGCTCGCGACTTCGCGTGACGTCATCAGCGCGAGACGCGCTCCTCGTCGGGTCAAAGGAGTTCCCCCACGAGTGACGTCACCAGGGAACTCCGCCCACTCACGTCATCGTTTCGAATCACCACGCGTGATCATATTTAGATTATATTCTTGGCTCTTTGGGTAAAGTCACGTAGATAGAAAAATTTACTAAAAATAATGAAATGAAATAAAAATAAAACATTGAAACTAATAAAAGAAAAAACACAATAAAAATAATAAATAAAAATTAAATAATAGATACATTGCATTGACTTTTGTTTTATTTAACTATTTTTATTGTGGGTTTTTTGCTTTTATTATTTTCAATATTTTTTATTTGATTGAATTCTTTTTATTCGTTTTTGTTTTCTATATATGTGACTTTACTGATAGAACCAAGAATATGAATTCCTGCATTCACGAAAGTTTTAAGTCAAAGTATTTAGATTACTGTTTGGTTATGATACATTTACACACGATAAGCCACTTAGTTAAGCTATAATTTGTGGCCAGGTCGTTTCTGAAAAAATAATCTAATAGCTCAGTGGGCTTTACCTAGTAAGACAAAATAAATAGATTAGTTTCATTTGTATTTTTTTAAGTTATGTGTTTACCTTTCCTCTACTTGGCATTCCGATCATGTTTTTGTATTGCTTGTTGTTCTAATGTTCTGACTGTGTGCCTCCTACTGGAAATCTGTGAAAAAGGGCTTCAAATTTCTTCGGATTCTTCCAGTATCAAAAAATATTCTGATTTTGTGGGCGCCGTTCCTCAGCAGATTGGGCGCTGAGCGCCGAGCTCTGCCTGGCTCTGCGCCCTCCCCCGTACCGCGGGTATCACAGGGAGGGAGCAGGTAGATTGGGGTGACAACGATTCTCTCTTTTCACATTGAACAACTAAAACAAACATCGTGAGTCTTGGCGCTTTGCCTTCTTCATTAAGTATATCCTGAAGCAGAGCATTACCTGTTTATTGATAGTTCAATGTTAATGTGCCATTTTATTGAGGGCCTACTACTGCTGTGTGTTATCTTTGTGTGCTCTGTGACTGCTTTGTTGTTTTTTCTGCCTTATCCAATCTGTATACGTCAGACTTATATAATTACGTATTCATATGTTGTGTGCTAAATGACGACACTGAAGCAGGTCTTCATGTAAGGGCTTCTGCCGGTTTATTAACAAGGGTTGGTGACAACTATCACCAGAGGTAGGTGACCTACACTTGGTCCTTCACGTGCACCCTCGGCTCTGTCTGTCCCTTGCTCGGCTATCTCTTGGGCTCTCTCTCTCTCAAGTCGGATCGGGGGTTCAGCCAACACCGACCGACCGAGGAGAGCAGCACCTTCCACAACTACCGCCGGCTTCTCTCCAGACTTCCTCAGCTCTACCCCTGACTGTTCAACCGCTCTCCATCCTGGGCTCCCACAACGACCCCACTTTCGTCACGGGACCCCCCTTAAGTACTGAGAGGTGACATGACGTCATCACACCGCACAGCGAATATGACGTCACGTCCCCAAACTACTCCTCTACATCCCCCCCCCCCCCCCCACCGTGAAAAAAAAATCAGCCGACCCGGCTGACGATACAAAAGCGGTGCCCCGTTAACCCGAAGAGGAAGACATCAACGTAAAACAACAACAACAACAACAACCATGTGAAGCGAGCGTAAAGGCGGAGCCGTCTGCGCAGGAACGAACAGGAACATAGGGCAGCATGGCAATAAGGAAGGCCCTCATCTCATGGAACAATGTGCCGATTATGATGGCGACGGCTGGGGCCCGATGACAACGTTCCCAATGGCGGTCATCAGAACCGAACGCCCCTCGAACGCGTGTAAACTGCAGGTCCGCTCCCCCATGCGGAGTGGGTCGTCGGGACAGACGATGTGCCAGCTGGTGACAGGGCCGTCGCCGGGGCCTCCACAGGAGGAGGCGTTGCCTCCGGAGCTACTGGCGAGGGCTCTGTAGGCGCACATACAGGGCAGACATTGTGCTCGCCATCATGACCCGTGCTGCCCGGCGCGTCGGACGCATCAATCACCGGCCGCTCAGGAAGTGGGGATGAATCGACGAGGCTAGGTGAAACATATCTTTTCAGCCGAGATGGGTGTACGATCCAGTGCTGGCGACCGAAGCGAATGCGGACACATTGTGGTCGTCAGACCTCCACGACCTCAACAGGGCCCTGCCAAGGGCAATGCAATTTAGGGGACATGCCAACAGGTACTTGGGAGCAGTAGAGCCACGCTTTTTGCCCCTTTACCCACGGAAGGCCGGAGGCTTGATGCTTCGGCAGGCACTCGTTAGCCGCTTGCCGGCTGGCCGAATTGTCTACAGCTGCCTGCCATGCCTAGCGCAGCCGGTCGAGCACGGCCTTCATTGGAGAGAGCACTGCAGATCCCTTCTTCGATGTCCCAAGGTCCATTTGGACGTGCATCGGGGGCTTCGGTTCCCTTCCATACATTAAATAAAAGGGCGAGAACCCCGTTGAGGCATGAGGAGCCAACCTATACACGGCCAGAACCCCCGGAATGAACAGGTTCCAGTCCGATTGGGACGTACTCACGTGGTGGCACAGCATGGACGTGCGGGTGCGGTTTAACCGTTCAACCATCCCATCGGACTGAGGGTGGTAGGGCAAGGTGCGTATTTTCTTGGTGCCAAGGAGGTCGCAGACTTCCTTGAGCAACCGGGAAGAAAAATTCCGACCCTGGTCGGTCAACAGTTGTTCCGGAGCACCCTTGTCAAGAACATACCCCTGTAAAAACGCCTCGGTGATGGAGGAGGCCGATGGGTCCACCAAAGGCCACGCCATAGACCAACGTGTGAGGTACTCAACACCGACCAAGAGGTACTTGTGGCCCCATTGGGATGTTGGGAAGGGCCCCAAAATGTCGAGTGCCACGAGCTCATTAACACGAGAAACCCGGATATACTGCAGCGGGGCCCGATCGCGGCCAACCGGGGCCTTTCGCCGTGCACAATCGTGGCAACCCTTCAATAACAGTGCCACGTCACTCTACACCTAGCCAGTAGTAATCACGTTTAAGGGTCAGCAAGGTCTTATGGTAACCAAGGTGCACGAGTTTCTCGTGAATGGCTCGGATCAATTTTCCTCACAGTGCAGTGGGCACGACTACACAATATCGCTCCAGTTCTGTATCCCAAAGCATAAGGAGGCCATCGTGCACAGCGACAACCGGGGCGGCCAAAGGAGCTGAACCCCAGGCTTTCAGCCCAACCCGGTGTCGCAGCCTCAGCAGAGAGAAATCCTCCATCTGGATCTTAGACCATACCTCTTGAGGGAGACCCAGGCCGAAATCGACAGGCAATGATACAACTGGAGGGGGGGCCGCGTTGGCCATTGCAACCAACTGGGCCGAGGTGTCAACTGGGGCCCTGCAGTGACTCGAACCCGTGGTACACGCGCATCCGCCCTCCGTAGGCAACCTGGACAGCCCATCAGCATTTCCATGCTGTGCCCCCTTCCTTTGGATGACGTCAAAGGAGTGCTCCTGCAGCACCTTGAACCAGTGGGACAGCTGACCCGAGGGCTTATCGATCCGCAACGAATATTGCAGGGCCGCATGGTCAGTCCGAACGGTAAATCGCCTGCCATACAAATAGGGCCTATATAGCTGCACAAAGAACACAATGGCAAGCAGCTCCCTCCGGGTCACACAATACCGCTGTTCAGCAGGGGACAAAACGCGACTGCCATACTCGATGACCCTTTCCATGCCATTGACCACCAGCCTCGATGCCCGTGTCGCTGGCGTTTGTGTTGAGCACAAAGGGCATGGAAAAGTCGGGGTACCCCAAGGGCGGCGCATCTGCCAAAGACGCTCGCAGCGCCACAAATTCCGCTTCCTCCTCTTTGCCCCAATTAAACTTTTGACCCTTCGTGGACAGAGCATGCAGCGGCTTCGCTATGATCGTGAAATCGCGCACAAAGTGGCGATAATATGAGGCGAAGCCATCGAAGCTGCACACCTCAGCGACAGATGTGGGAGTCAGTCATGTCCGAACACAAGCTGTCTTTTCCGGATCTGTGGCGACACCTGACGCACCAACAATATGGCCCAAATATTTCACCGATAGTTGCAACAAATTACACTTTTGTGGTTTAAATTTCAAGCGCGCAGCACGTACTTTGACGAATACTGACTCAAGACAATGCAAGTGTTCGTCAAATGTACGGTTGAACACAATGACGTCGTCCAAGTAAATTAAGCAAGATTCCCATTGCAGACCCGCTAAAACCATCTCCATGAGATGCTGGAAGGTGGTCGGGGCCGAATGGAGGCCCATAGAGAGCCGATTAACAGCCCCTGTGTTGTGCGGAACGCTGTTTTTGGTCTAGAGGCCTCGTCCAGTGGCAATTGCCAGAAGCTGGAGAGCAAGTCTAGGGTCGAAAAGATCCACACACCCGAGAGGGCGTCGAGGGAATCATCTATGCGGGGCAAGGGATATGCATCAGCCACCGAAATCTTTTTCCAGAAATCGACGCAGAAACGGAGACTCCCGTCCTGTTTCTTGATGAGCACAATGGGGGCGCCCCAAGGGCTAGTTAATGGGGAGATAATGTCCCCCGCCAACATCTCATCAACGGCCAAGCGGACATGATCTTTTCTTTAGGGCTGAAATGATGCGAATTTAGCCGAATAGGGCGTGAATTTTCTGCGTCTATGTGATGTTCCAATAGGTTCGTATGTCCAATATCGAATTTACTCTGGCTGAACACATTGGTGAACCATTCAATGAGCGCACGGAGCTGCTGGCGCTCTCTGGGGGACAAGAGGGCGTTCTCCCGACACAGCGCATCGATCCAGGATGCGTCGATCCTCCTATCCTGCATCATGCCTGCCACAACCCCCCCAGCCGGCATGGCATCATCGGGTGGAGAAGCCGGGGTCGCATGCGCCAAAAAGGTGCCGGCCGGAGTCGTCACCTGTGAGGGACCTGAATTGAGTATCTGTAAAAAGGGGTCCTGATCCCCTAGCACGGCTGTACGGGCACCCACCAAACAGGGTGTCCTCGAGAAGTAGTTCGAGGGAGACATCAGGA